AACAAAGACTTGGCACCTCTATGAATATTGTGGCCCTTTGATGGCCCCTTACTCAGAAAAATCCTAGATCTGCCACTGTATGCAAGTAATGCATTTGTATGAGTTCAACATGGGTGTACAGGTTTACATCAGGGATCAGCTCTGTGGATCTGTAGTGAGAGTAGGGAGCAGGTGGAAGAGAGCCTGGAGAGGTAGAGGTATGCTCTGAAGAAGGAATCCAGTCCTTGTCCTTGCAGGGCCACTATCCTGRATGTTTAGACCTGATTTGAATGAAAGAGTGATTAAAACGCTCCTACAGAAACGTGGAGGTGAATATATTTACTGAACGAGTGTGTTGGAGCAGGGAAACAAGTAAAAAATGCATAGTGATTTGTGTAAAGTAAATGATGTTATTGTGTTATATTTTAAGGTGTTTATTGTAAAATCAAATGTTTCATTTTGTTTGTTTTTTATGTTTTGTGATTGACAGAAGGAGATTGGAAGGGAAGCTTTACAAGCTTGTTAGACCTAATTTGACATAGTTTGGTCCTGAAAAAGTTAGAAGACAAAAGGTGAAGCTGGATGTGGAGAAGGTGAAGATTTTGGGATTTTTATTACAGGGGCGGTTCTAGGGGCGGGGCCACAGGGAAATTGGCCCCTGCTGAAATCTGATTGGCCCCCTGAAGTGCCCCTGTCTTATCACTCATCTGTCCTGAGAGCAATGATGGTGGTTGCAGTTCCATGCCCAAACACTAGAGGCGCTAATGAGTCWAAATGTAAAGTCCAGCATGAATCAATCTTACAGCAGTCTTCTTCTCTTCTTTAAAAGACTTGAACAATTTTGCAAAAAATATCTTTCATCTGGCAAACATTGGCTTCATTTTCTCACATGCTTTGAGAATATTTCATCCATGTACAGTAAAAATGCATATAAAATTGTTAAGGGAGCTTTTTTAATAACATTACATTACGTTACAATTGTTGGAGCATACAGTATGTGACCGGTTAAATTTATACACCTTACCAAAACCGAGGATTTATGTGCAAGGATGTTGAACAAATACTTGGCCTCTCAATGAGTATTGTGGCCCCTTGATGGCCCTTTACTCAGAAAAATCCTAAATCCYCCACTGTTTTATTGTGAAGGACCAAACTAGACAGGAGTTCATCAAAGAGACGGCACAGGTTTGGAGACAACGTTAGAGAAGTGAGGCTGAGATGGTTTGGACTTCTGCAGAGGAGGCTTAGTGGACAGCCACAGATTTTAATCACCAGTCTGAGTTACAGTTCTTCTCWTTTTTWTTTTATTTTAAACACAGACGTTCTGCGTGGTAAATTAGAACTTAGGAGTGAACTTTTCAGAAAACCTGAGAATCGGTACAATATTTTACATGGTCAGGACACAAGTAGAGACAGAAACTGGGCTTCATGAATCATTCCCAGACAGGAGATGATGAGGAGGAGGGGAGCTGCTGTTGGTCCGTTTCAACGACTTTGCCGGTGAAAATATGCAAAAACCAGTTTCTGCTTCTGTCATTAGAGGCTCGGAGTCACGCAGTGGGAGACGGAGCAGTCTACTTCCTTTACGTCTGTAAGATACATACATATTTATTACAGAAGTTCAGTAATATTGACTCATCTCTAATATGCTCTTATAATAATCTGATTCAGTTTGGTAATAATAATAGGRAACAACTTTATCATCATAAAAACAGTCTACCTCTCCGGTTAATGTGGCCTGCAGGTATTTTTGTTGTAATGAATCATTCCCTTCTTGACAAAAAAAATCATCCTATAAAAAAGGATAAAAGATATAAAAATGTATATTTTAGGAAAGACAAACAACAAAAAGCTCAACCACTCGACGGAAACTGATGGGACATGAGTCAGGCTTTTAATCAGATGTCCATTTATGCAACTAATCATGAATTCCAGAAAATCATGGTGAGCATCTGTTTGCAATTAGATTTTCATGCTCACCTGACTTTATWAATGAAACTACAAGAGCCTTTCAAATGTGTAACTGTTGGACCAACATGAGCTATTTTCTGCCTCTGTACAACATAAATGACTCTCATTAGCACGATGACGATTAGCCTGGAGCTTTACTGCAAGCCTTCCACTGCCTCTGAACCTGAAGCRTTTCTTCTTTCCATCAAAACAAAAACATTAATTAAATACAGCTGTTGATCTACTCAGTGCTTTGCAGCATGTGTTTTATTTGATTGCAAGARGCTGACCAGATTATGTCAAATATTGCTTGTTTAAGTCATGTTAAAATCAGCTAACGAATGTGAGGAAAAGAAAAAGATTTCAGACTGGTTACGAACACTTCTCAGGAATTATTCAGAGTTTTCTGTTCTCACATGAAGACATCAGGAACCTAACAGAGTCGAGGTGAGGACAAATGATCAGTTTGATTCCATTGATTTTTAACATCAGCGATTACTTCCCTGTTTCAGCATTTTCTCTCAWATATGGCACGTCATCGAATGACCATTTGGTCTTCTACAGGGGGGAGATGATAAATTTAAAAATAAGTRGCAGTCAGAAAAACCAGGGAGGGCTGGAGGAGGGAGAGAAGTATAAAAGAGAAGGTGTAGGAGGAGACTGAAGTAGAGTGAAAAACATCAGAGAAGCAGAGAAATGTGAGACTGAAAGTTTAGGAAAAGGTCAAGAAAGACTCCACGAAACCATAGGATCAGGACAAACAGAAGCAGAGGAAAGGGAGGTAAGAAAAGAATGATTTTCACATAGATTTATGTCTTTATCTGCTAAGCTAAGGCTTAGAAAAGTCTGAAAATCGTTACTTTTTTAAAATAAATTGTGCTTTTTGCACTTGAAACCTGCATTATGTTTAATCAGTCCCAAATAACATCATCAATATTCGTTGTGCTTTTGAACTGCAGGGGTCAAACAATGATTGCACGACATGTCATGTACAACTTGTTCTCAGTTTTGCTGAGCGAGAAGAATCTGTGTGTTTGTGTGTGGGTGTTTGGATTGAGCGTTTCCACAGTGGAGATGTTTGAGCGTTCCCCTGACAAATGATGATGGTTAACACAGATGTGTAATCCGAGAGGAGGACTCTATCCATCCAAGTCTTTTCACCCTGAAACCTCAAAGAAAACGAGAACGGAGCACACGCATACATCCAGATTATTCCCCACATAAACATGTTTTTAATGTCTTGTTGTCAGATTTAGTGTCAGCTCAGTGAATGCCGAACYTTTGTGACATGGGACGCGTTTATTCTTCCCTCCAGGTGTATCGTTCGCTGAAGTTTATCTCTTTTGGAGTGTCTGGGAAGAAACATACATCAAGGTGAACATTTWTAAGGTCGGAGGTGGCAGCAGGGTGTGAGAATGTCGCACATGCCTCGTCTTTTTCTGCTCCTCCTGTTGGGAGTCAGTGCAGCCAGCATTCTCACAGCACAAGGTGGGATTCTCACCATGATGTCAACAGTTTTGTTTTTCGTATCGTTGTCGCTTGTAGTGGAAAATTATAAAAATATCTTAAAATGTATTAATTTAATTTTGGTAATGTATGCAATGATGAAATAAAACCATGCAGTGTGAGTTGTTTAATTCACTTTCACTCAACTAAACTGAATCTCAAGAAGTTTATTTTAAAATCAAATAAAAATTGACTGTAAATGGTTTCAGCTTAAAGCGTAATTCTGAGACTTTTGGAAGTAATGACACATTTTTCCTGCCTCATTAGTTCTATTCCGTCATTTCTTAATTATTGTTTCATTTTAGCCCCTTCTTCTTGTTTGAATTGTGAGGTTTTAACACTAAAGTAAAATCCCTTTTATTCAGAATTCTGATGCAGAAATGTGTCACTCAACTCAAATTTGGCTAAAGTTTTAAAAAGTGCTTTATGGCCTATAGGATTTCTTATTACCTTTATAAAAGCAGCAGATTGGTTGGACACTAAATCATAATGATAARATGAGTATATGCAATGATGTCTTGTGTTTTGAGTCACATCAATGGTTTTGTTRATTGTAGCATCATGGAGAGGAGACAACAGAGAGTCTGGTCCTGCTGTCCATCCTTCTAATGGTAAGTTTCATCATCAAAAGCTCACATTTAACCCTAAGCCTAACTTAAAAATATTATTTAGCTARAGAAAATGTCTCATGTCTCATTTGGTTCTGTAAACTTAATGTCTAGATGACTACGAGTGGACCACYTGGTTCAATGTTGACCACCCTGGAGGCCGTGGAGACTACGAGCAGCTGGATGCCATTCGTTTCTATTACCGTACCCGAGTGTGCGAGACCCCTCAGGCAATCGAAGCAAGAACCACAGACTGGGTCTCGGCGCGAGAAACTGGYGAAGTTGTCCACGCAGACCCAACTGTAGGATTCTGGTGCCTCAATGAGGAGCAAATTCCTGGACGCAACTGCTCCAATTACGCCGTTCGTTTTCTTTGTCCTAAAGGTTTGGATTAAAACCTACTTTATGTTAATACCACAATGTGGTCTCTGCTTTCACTATGTTTTTGACCAGACCTTTCTTCTTGACAAGACAGATAAAAAGCTTGCAAACTATTATCATCTATTATCTGCTGAGCAACGTTTTAATTTTGTCTTTTGTTCCAGCAGAGAGAGCTTTGAACGTTCAGGGAAAGTGGGGTCTGTGGTCAGGCTGGAGCCCATGTCCTGCCCTCTGTGGCCAAGTGGGTGTGCAGCTTCGCTATCGAAGCTGCCAGTCCCAATCCGTGACTTGCAGTGGYCCTAAAATAGAAGGGAAACCATGCAATGGACCAGAGTGTGTAAAGACAGGTYAGCAAACTTTGTTTTAGATATGCAAACTTTTAATTCTCTACTGTTARGAGCAAAACTTCATGACACAAACAAGCCAAACTACCATGACATGTATTTGTTTCCCTATTTAGACTGTTCCTTACAGTGTGTGATGGGGAAAGTCAATGCTGACTGTGATGCTTGCATGTGTGAAGAGCATATTCTTCTGGGTTCTGTACGCCGTGCAGGAGGTCTGATTGCTGATGGGGCTACCATCCTTAACTCGGGCAAATTCCTCACTCTAACAGACCACAACGGTCATTTCCGCATCCCTGGTATCTGCCCCGATGGCAACACAACCTTAAAAGTCAGCCTGCGGGGCCATGCCCCCCTTAGCGTTGTTGTGCCCGCCAGCTCTGAGCYGACCTCGGTCCTCAGTGTGCAGCTAAAAAGAGCTGGTAACGTAGATTTTAATCTGATAAAAATGATAATTTAAAAAAATTTACATTGACTAATGTTGGGTTTGGAGGGGAAAAAAACTTTTTTATTTATTTTCCTTTTAGAAAAGCTTCATGTCATAAGTAACCCTGAGAGCAAGGTCAGGAGGGAGGGACAAAGTGCTGCTTTCTGCTGCAAAGTGACTGGAACACCAGAGCCTGACAAGTATCAGTGGTAAGAGCTGAGCTCACAGATGAATCATCATGTAAATAKAGTACCATGTTTTTCACATTTCTTTGTACGGTCAATTGTTTGKRRGTARTTTTGTGTGTGAACCGACAGGTTTCARAACAACAGTCTTCTGGAAATCCATTCCGCGAGCACATTGGTCCTAAAAGATTTACGTTCTGAGCAGGCAGGAGAGTACTACTGCAGAGCAAGTAATCCATCTGGAGGTATCAAGACTAAACCAGCCATTCTCAAAATCATAGGTGAGTTCCTTTCATTTAACGTGAACAATAGCTCAGCAGTGATTTGGGTCCTATGTCATTTTCTTCATTTATTTCAAACACAGGAAGAGACGAGCCCACGTGTAACCCAAAGCCTGAATCGCACCTCATCCATCTTCCACATGACTGCTACCAAAACGGCACCAACTCCTACTACGATGTGGGCAAATGCCCCTCAAGTGCATGTGCTGGACAACTGGACAATAGTATCAGGTGCAAAGACAAAGTGGCTTACTGCTGTGGGGTGGCAAAGATGGAGGAGAGGCAGCTAATGTGCCAGGGCTACCAGCTGCCCACCATGGTGGTGACAGAGTGTGGCTGTCAGAAATGTGTGGACACCAAGGCCATTGTGCATGGCAGGGCGATCGCTGCTGACAATGGTGAGCCAATTAGGTTTGGTCATATCTTCATGAARGGAGTCAGAATCAGCCGCACGGGCTACAAAGGCACCTTCTCCATTCAGGTTCCTCCAGGCACCGAAAGGCTGGTGCTAACTTTCGTAGACAACATGCACAAATTTGTCAACACCACCAAGGTACTTTCATTTAACCCAAAGGGTGGGGCTGTTTKTCACGAGATCAAACTGTTACGAAAAAAAGCTCCTGTGACCATCGACCCTTCAGAAACCAATACATTAGAGCTTGGGGAAGAAGGGGGCCAGGAGGCAATGGTCCAGATCCAGATTCCKCCTAATTCTTTTTATAAGGAAAACGGAGAAGTTTTCACTGGTAACGTCAATGCAAGTGTTACATTTCTAGACCCCAGAGATGTCTCCACAACTGCTGCTGCTCAAAGTGATCTCAGTTTCATAGGAGACACAGGTGACGTCCTGCCACTGAGAACCTATGGCATGTTTTCAGTAGACTTCAGAGGTGAGGAAAACAACGAACCCCTTAATGCAGGGGAGGTGAAGGTGTTCCTGGATTCGGCTCAGGTAAAGATGTCTGAGCACCTCGACACCATGAAGCTYTGGTCTTTGAATCCTGAAACAGGCCTCTGGGAGGAGGAGGGAAGCCTGCATCTGGAGAAAAAAAAGAGAGGCAAAAGAGAAGAGAGAACGTTTCTGATTGGAAACATGGAGATCAGAGAGAGACGTCTGTTCAACCTGGACGTGCCAGAGAACCGCAGGTGTTATGTGAAAGTGAGGGCTTTTCGAAGCGAGCGCTTTATGCCTAGCGAACAGGTAGAGGGAGTTGTAATGAGTCTCATAAACATGGAACCAACACCTGGTTTCTCCTCAAATCCACGTGCCTGGGGTCGATTTGATAGTGTTGTTACTGGTCCAAATGGTGCCTGTCTTCCTGCCTTCTGCGATGAACAAAAACCTGATGCTTATTCTGCATATGTGATGGCCAACCTTGGAGGGGAAGAACTGGAGGCTGTCTCGTCTGRTCCCAAACTCAATCCAGGCCTTATTGGAGTACCACAGCCTTACCTGGYAAAACTCAACTACAGGCGGACTGACCATGAAGACCCCAAAGTGAAGAAGACTGCATTCAGTATCAATGTGGCAAAACCAAGCCCCAATGTAGCCGAGGAAGCAAATGGACCAGTGTACGCATTTGAGAAATTGAAAGAATGTGAGGAGGCTCCATTCAGTGCGGCTCACTTCCGGTTTTCACGAGTTGAAGGAGARCGTTATGATTACAACACGGTGCCGTTCAATGAGGATGACCCAATGAGCTGGACAGAGGACTACCTGAGCTGGTGGCCCAAACCTATGGAATACAGAGCCTGCTACATCAAGATCAAAATTCACAGCCCACATGAAATCAATGTGCGGTCTCGCAACATGGGTGGCACCCATCCAAAAACRGTAGGTCAGCTTTATGGCCTTAGAGACACTCGCAGCATCCGTGACATGGATCATGCAAATGTTTCAGCCGTGTGCCTCGAGTTCAAGTGCAGTGGGATGCTGTTTGATCAGGATCGTGTAGACCGTACCCTGGTGAAAGTGATCCCTCAGGGAAGCTGTAAGAGAAACCACGTAAACGCACTGCTTCAGGATTATCTGGTGAACCACCTGCCCRTAGCTGTCAACAATGACACCAGTGAGTTCACAATGCTGGCACCTCTTGACTCTCTGGGCCACAACTATGGAATCTACACAGAGACAGATCAGGATCCCCGAATGGCGAAGGAGATGGCTCTCGGGCGATGCTTTGATGGCACCTCTGACGGCACATCTCGGGTCATGAAGACCAGCGAGGGCGTAGCGCTGACTTTCAGCTGTGGGGACCGTGAGGTGACACGTCAGAGTGTCTTTCAAGCTCTTCAAAGTTCTCAGAGACAGATGGTCACGAGTGTTGTGAGAGGAGAAAGCAGAAAAACCAGACGCCGGCAGAGGGCCAACACATCCCGCAGCAGCCGTAAACGTAGCACAGGAAGGTAAATGCAAGTCTGAAGCTACACAACGCCACAGTTAAGGGCTCTACATGAAAACCAGTTGGAACAACTACAGTTAGAYCTGAAAATAATTGGACACTGAGCCAGTTTTTGCATTTAGCCTTTATACCAAAACATAAAAGTTTCAGAGGTAATGAAAATAGTTTTGATACACGTGCAGTTTGAATCTGCAGTTTAATATTTGGTTTGAATTGATGGCTTGCATTTTTTAAAATTATACAAAGTTCTTTCTCAGGAAGCACAGCTGTAAATTAAAAAAAAACTAAAACAAATTTCTTTTGGAAAGATTGCTCRACAGACATGGAAACCTGAAGTCTGAAAACAAAACAAATGAGTGTCTTCCCTTGTGATGGTTTGCCAGCACTTTCTGCAGTGCCTTTCCATTCTATAAGCTCTTGTGCCAACAATTACCAGGAAGTGAAACACTACCTGGTAACGATCATGTGAGTGACTCAGCTAAAGTGTTCTCCTTTAAAAACTTGTATTGCAGGTACTTTGGATTATTTTCAGTCTGTACTGTGAAGTCAGCTTTTGCTACATTTGACTGACTGAGCAGAAAGAAAATCTGAGCTTTTGGTGCTTCTGTTCAGTCACAGGAGTCGTGACCCAGAGATGTTGAAAGCCATACAGGCTGATGCTTTTCCAAGCATCCCAGTGTTATCCCATTATTGAATTGCTGATTTAGGTTTCATTCATTCCAGGTGTTATTTAAAAACTTGTCTGACTTTATGTTTTTTTTTTTTTTTTTTCAAATTTTAATCCAAATAAAAGTGGTTTCTTTAGTTTTGCATCTGGTGAACTTTTTTTATTTGCCACTCTTTGTGCTTCCTGTGACCAGACTATTCCTGTTTAGATGTTGTGGTTTTTATTATTATGTAAAGCAGTTTGTTCCCATCGGGCAGCGCTATGAGGAAGTGTTGGTTCATTCACACCTTTTTTTTAAAGTTTTCAATACCACCAAGCTTGTACGCCTACCTAGATGCATCATCATGGCAACCTGTGCTGGAAACTCAATTTATCTGGACACTTAAGTTTTGTGTGACTTAAACGTCAAATTGGTTCCACTAAACTGAGTTGAATAAATGTAAAGCAGTTTACATAYTTTAAAAGAAAATGTGCAAATTGATCAGCTTACTCAGAGTGAAACCGGTTTAAGTAAATTCAACTTAATTTCTTAGTGTGTAAAAAACATTTTTACTTTACAGATTGTGAGCAGTTTTAAGTACTTTTTTCTTATCTATTAAATTCATTATTTTTTGTTAGGCATTTTCACTCTCATATTTCTTTTTAAGTATTTAATTTCAATAGAAAATACTTTTCTAACCTGCAATAGAAATATTCCAAAGTTTATTTAACAGGATCAAATGTAAAAGATTTATCACTAAATGAAGATTTCAAATTGCAAAGCACATTATTGCCCAATAAATTTTCCACATCTTATTAAATGTTTTTAGTTGACTAAAATGCCCAAATGAAAAAAATACCCCTTTCACCTCCTACTCAAGACATTTTTCTGCTTCCAACTTTGTATTTTTGACATAAATCTAGACTGATCCAACATACAGAAACACAGTTGCTCTTTTGACCAGCGATTTATTAAATTAGAAGCTTAAAAAACAGATTATGCATTTTCAAAATTGTATATTTTCATTTATTCGAGTAACATTGGAACTGGTCAACCGCTAGAAAAGAAACAAAAAGGAGAAATTTGCCCCGTTCAACTGAACTGTAGCCCATATGAAGACATGGTGGGGTGAAGCCTACAAGCCTCCGCTCCTCATCACACTTGATACAAGCCCAACGTTTAATTCAAGAGACCAGTTGCAAGATATTTCCACCTGCCTGATCTTTGCTTTTCTTTCCCTGAATTAGTAGAARTCAAATTAGTAAGCTAAATTTCTGCTTCAAAGTTTCAAGGATATACCAGAGATGTATCAAGAATGGCTGTGGGGTTTTTGAAGTCACATTTATTATACTCTATCCCTTTTATCTTACAGTGAATGTCATGTGCTCTCTGTAAAATCTTTTACTACTTACYTGTTGCYCCTGTCTCAGATTACCCACACTGCAACTGCTCCAGAAATAAAAATGAATATTGTACTGAATAATTGCTCAGCATTTGGCAACCGAAATTATACTATATACATTTTTCCTGTAAAAGACCTAACAGCAGGTAAGTACAACCTATAATACATGACATTCTGGTCTGAAAATTTGCATAGAACCTTGTTTCTATGTCGCTATACTTAKAACTGCCATAKTGAATCTCTGGTATGTTGACAGGAGCGTTGRTTGATAGAAAATGAGCCCCGCAAAAGTCATACAGCAGCAGTTACAATGTATTCTCCACTGAAGCAACAGATTCCATGTGAATGTGTGTGTGAGTCGAGGCTAAACGCGACAGAAAAAGGCAATTCTTTGTTAGAACAGAGTGTTGAGACTGGATGCTTCCTGGTTATAGTTCCTCTGGGTCACTGAAGCAAAATGAAAGGGGCAACACATAGTTCAGACTTTCCAGGGTGGCACTGGACAGCGTGAGAAGGTACAGCTGTACGGCTGACTGTTGGGAGAGGAAGAGGGCCGTGCTGATGGAGCCAGTGTCACATGAAGTCCTCATAGTCCTGGGCGTAACCACCGTCAAACTCTGCATAGTCAAGGTCGTCTCTCATCTGTGCTTTCAAACCTCCACCGGGTATGACTCCTTTCTTCTTCTTCTTGCCTTTGTTTTGCTGCTGAAGTAACAAAAACAAAACATGAATAAGATTAAGCAGTAGATTAAGAGTGCCCTCTACTGTAGAAAAAGACAATCACAGAGCTACTCACTTTTTCTTGTTTCTGTTTTTCACTAAGTAGGACAGAAAGGGAACTACTGATTTTTTTCAAGTCATCAACTTCCACTGTAAGAAAGAAAAAAAAAAACAGTCATGTCGGCTTTGACACACATCCAGGGGAACAAATACTGTAATTAAATATGACAAAAAGTTATTATCTTACATGAAATACAAAGCTCCCGAAACAAAGAATCCAAGAAACTCGAATAATGAACAGATTTTTCAAACTGGGTTATCTTTTCTTTCAGCAAATTTTCAAACTCTGTGAATTCTTCTTTGGAAGATGGACACATGGCGTCGATACCTGTGACACCTGTGACACCTGTGACACCTGGAGAAAAAGCACACACGGAGAATTTGAAGACTCTAGACACAGGAAAACTGCAGACATTATTAAACATGTGAGGTCTGAAACTAGTATCAAACCTCTAAAGGCTGATCATCAGACAAGATAAATTCAAATATCTGATCCACTCTTACCAAAAGCATCTTTTGCGAGCTCCAAATCTGCAGCTTCTTGTAATTTCTTGACTCTTAACTTTTCTGCGAGTTGTTCTTCAGGTGAGAGTTCTTCTTGCTGAAATAACAGACAAAATTAATAAATGAAGTGAACAACTCTGTTACACAAAAATGTTAAAACACTCACGTCATCTTCCAATTCCTTTTTCAGCTCCTGTTTCTTCTTCAACTGGTTTTCTTTCTCTTTGATCTTTTCACTTAACTTTTTCTTTTCAGAAACTTTAGTCTCTAAAAATTTTAATTATGGAACAAATTAGTTTTGCAAAGACATAGATAGCACAATAACATGTTTTTTTTCCTACTGTTTTTTTAAAAACATACCTGTTTTCTTCACCTCTACTTTTGCCTCCTTCTCTTCATCATCATCATCCCAATTGTCCTGTGAATAAGAGGAAAAAAAGACGTGTCGGTTGCCATTTTCCTAAAATAGTTGACAAAGCAATTCTCTAAGCTACTCCTCTTCGTATCCTTAATAAAAAACAAAAGTTGAAAAGGATTTTCTTAATGTCTTGTATGGTTTCACTATGAAAATAATAAAACAATTTAAAAGCTGGTACCTGTACAGCACCTTACTCAAAAAAAGAAATTAAAGGTTTAGTACATAATTGCCTTTTTTTCACTATTGTATACAGTATAAAAGTTGATTGAAAGTAAATCATTGTTTCAACATTTATGAGACTTGTGTGATGTATAATTCATCATCTGTTCAGTTCACAGAGGTCCTCCAGCTGTCTGTGCCTGAAGTGATAAGAACTCCATTTAAAATGTAGTGCTAAAGATAAAACTCCAGTATGAGAAGGAAAATAACTAAGTTAACACTTTAAAGAGACACTGCATAGGCAGAATTACCTTTATCCACATTTGCACAACTCAATATGCAGATACTTGAAGGATAAAATTATATAATTTTTTGTAAAAACCAAAAAAAGTGTAAACTTAAAAACCTTAAGGTGGATAAACTTTTCACAACGTGCCAGAAAATGAGCAGTTTTTGTTGTGGTCTCAATAAATTCTGCCGTTTGTGACCAGCGAGCCGTGCCCCTCTTTCAGAGGCCTATTTTTGAAAATCATTGCTTGCCAAACCGTATTCTGAGTCATGGACACCTTTTCGTTGCCCATCTCCGCCCACATAGTACTTGTATTAACCTTGTCAGCTGCCCCAACATTTAGGATGGTATCTGCTGGCGTACACTTATGAAATGAAGACAGGTAGATCTGGATCAGTTTTTCAATAATAAATATTTGTTGTCTGTGTTGTTTTTATAATCCCGGACATGAACTTTGAATGTTTCCTGTCAGGGAGCTCCCATGCAGGTGTCAAAATACAGCTCRGGTGTAAGTGGAGATGCCGGCAATGACTATTTTGAGAAAAAAGTTTGTTGCACAAGACTTTTTAAAAACAATTTAAAAACTCAAGGGACAAGACTGCAAGCCTCTGCAACCCACACAATGAAATATAATACCGCTGGTAATGTTCACCAAATAATCACCTATCAAATCTTAATCAGATACTACCTCTATAAAGCAACAACGTAATAACAAATGTCTATAATAGTAGTGCTGTCCTAAACTATTATTTTTCTCTCAATTAATCTAACGATTATTTTTACGATTACTCGATTAGTCTAACGACTAATTTTTGTTGATTCATTAACCATTATTTTTTGTTGATCGGGTAATATAAAGACTAATTTACAAAAAATAAAAATTAAAAAATAATTTATGGAAATCTTAAGCATAAAACGATGTATAAATCGCGGTGTTGTCAAGATTTTAACAGCAAACTCCTCCGTAAACAAGGAGAAAGTGGAGGAAAAGAAACACCTTAATGTTTTTTGTTTGTTTGTTTTGTGAAAGCAACACTGCCCACTGCATGTAAAAACATTTCTGCCTGAAGTGTGTAAGTTTCAGTTTCTCTGACGAGGACAACGTCAACGCTAACAATCAGAAAGTACCACGTTGCTGCCAACGTTATTATTCTTAATATATTAAGTTAATGTCAAAAAGCAATATAACAACAGGACTTACAATTCTGCACTTTTCCTCCTGCCTTCATCTTCGAGCAGAACACCAGGATGTTTGCGCTTCAGGTGTTCGTTCATTGCGGTTGTGCTACTATGCTAGGCTAACTCCATTTTACAGAGTGAACAACCAACCAAGCCCTTTTCTTTCGGCTTAAAATACTTCCACACTTTCGACGTCTTTGGACGTTTCCTTAGCTGAACTCTGTCATCGGGGTCTTCTTCACGTGTACTGCTCGGACCGCGTGTCGCCATTTTCTTTGCCTCCTCTTTCGACGTATTCACGTAAAACGACATGTCGACGGTATGTTGTGCGTGTCGACGCATTTATGCAGCCGACTAGTCGGGACAGCACTATATAATAGTTCTTTGAATAGCTAAACATATGCCATTTGCCATAAAAGTTTACAAATTATATGATTAGTAAAAACTATATTGGAGACAGCTGAAATGTGAGTTACTCCTAATAAAAACAATCTCTAACATCTGTCTTTCTGATTAGAAATCTTCTTTTTCAATTAAAAAAAAGAAGATAGCTGGTACTAGGGCTGCCACAAACGATTATTTTAATAATCGATTAGTCGTCGATTAATCGATTAATCGTGGCAGCCCTAGCTGGTACACATGACCATTTAAACCTAACATTTTTTATATCTTAAATGTAGTTTCCCTTAATACAAAGTTAGTTGTAGAGAGCTTGAAATACGTGTTTTAAAAGGCATTTTGTTTTGAACCTAATTTAAACTCTGACAAGTTTGAATGTCATTACAATACAGTGGTTTGATTTACATGTCAAAGTGTTATACAGACACGGATCTAGATGATTCCTCCTACTTCAATAGCAGGGCCTGTTTGAATGACCTGAAACAGGGAGTTTCTATAGTTTGGACACCGTATGTGACAGACAGCAGCTGAAGAGCAGCACTTTGTCAGCACTTTCCACGGGTCAGCTATGTCAACATTTATGTGACCAACTGTGTTGTTGTGTCAACTTAACAGCTGGCCATGGTCCTGCCCAATAAAAGTCGTAATGGAGGGAGGAAAAAAAAGGCTTAGGCCCAGATCTTGTCTGAGTTGAGTCATCAACCCAGAGGAGTTCATCTGACGGAGGCTAAAATTGGACATCAGGCTAGCGCCGCCGCATGCTGAACGTGACTCATGCAGATGCGCTTTCACTTTGTCAATAAATATAAAAAGAGCGGTTTAAAAACGAAACAGCGGTCTAGATTCACTACACGTCTCAAAACCGTGTTATATCAAAGCCAGTCAAACACTAAAGCTCACTCTCTAAAAGCTGACTTGATGAAAATCGGCGAGCCTGGCGGTGGCTAATTAGCTCGTTGCTAGCTTAAAGATAAGCGATCAAAAWGTACTCCGTGTATCTCTAAATGGGAACTCTGAAGCGGAGGGAAAACAATAACACGACTTGTTTTACATCCATAATAGCGTGTCAACCTTTAGTGTGGTAATTACAAGCTAAAACACGAACAGCGGCCTCTCCCTGGCTTCAGTAACAGGCTGTCTGGTTGAGCCACATGAGTTAGCCGACAGCTAGCATAAAGCTAACCCGGGGTTGACAGGGCGAAAGAGCAGCGGTGAAGCCTCAAAAGGCGAACCGATAACATGTCTCCCCAGTTCAGAGTTATCCATCTAGCGGCTCACAAACAACCTAACATGTGTGATGGGATTCATCTCTATCGATAAAGTCACGTCGAGTTACCTTAACGTCTTCATCTTCGTCTTCGCCTTCCCATTTGTCCAGCGTCGCTGCCGCCTTTTTAATCGGCTCCTCCGGCTCGAAGTTGTCAGCGTCTGCAAAACCAACAGCATTATATTCGTTAGGCCAATCCACATCTAAAGACGGAGTGGAACAACAACGACGCGTTAGGCTCTTTAAAACAAAAGCCCTTCGCAAAGCAGGTGATGTAAAGGCAGCTATCCTGCCCAACTAAGTTTCTCACCCCAGTCCGCCATGTCGGCTGTGTTGGTTCTGTTTGACAGGCTCGCGCAGGGAATTCGCCGCCGCAGCCCGTTGGCCACGTTTGGAAACTGATCCCACCTTCTGGCCGTAACATCCGGTGTTGTGCCGAAAAATGTGCTCTCTGTCAAAAACAGCTCGTTCTAGACTTCTCGCGAAAGCTCTTGAACTGAAAATAGTAAATTTCAGGCTGAATAACTCGTCTTTTTTACTTTTTGGAAAATCAGCAAAAATATAAAGGTTATCATTGTTAACATGTTCAATTTCTATGTTGCTATCAACATAAATACAGAATATGAAATACAGGAGCTACTTCCGGTGTGTTAGCGGAAGTAACTATAAGGCTAAAATTTCCACTTCCACTTAGCTTCAACTAAATTATTCAAACAATAAAAACGAGCTAATTAGATAAAATTTTAGCATGATTCACGGGAACAAATTTCTAATACGAATTCTCAATTCGTCTGCGATAATTTGGTAAATTAAAAAAAAAAACAGTATCGGGCTTGCGTGCTCCCGCAGCAGTTGATCAGTTTTAGAAAAGCTAACACTTTTTTTTGACATAACACCATCATTATCATGCCCCACCACTTCCCTGAACTATCAGTGGAACTAAGAACACATAAACAGGAATATAACGTTTAAAGTAAATATTTGACACAGTCAAAACTAAACGTTCTGATTTAAATAAAATAATAAACAACAAAAACAATACCTACACCATACCGGCCCATTACAAGTATGAAAGAGTAATTTGATGATCATATTTTATTACATCAAATATTTTCTCTGTCTTTATATTTAATTTTATACTTTAAGTCTGATGTATTTTTATGTGCTGAATGAGTAATATCACCGTATATTAACTCATTCCAAAATAATGTTTATTTTTTTTTCAATATTACACAGATTTTTAGATTATTCAAAGAAGAAAAATGACAGAATATCCCAGATTAAAATAAGAACCAGTTTTTATTATGGAGGAATTGCTTTTCAAATAAATAAACAATTACACTGAGTTAATGTAAAACATTAATGTCATGATTTTGACTTATAGCAATCACCTTAAAGTGTGCACAACAATACAAAACCCACAGCAATAATGGAATAATTTTAATTAGTGCAGATCAGACTCATTTGTACATGGAAATTTGGATCATATTACAAAGTTTRGATGTACTAAAATACATTGTTTTGTCAAATAATATATAATATTTCACGAGCATAAACAGCAATGCAACGAGTTGTTTAAAATTTTTGTGTACCTCTTTTAGGGGTGCTGGTTATTTAACATCTCTGAGAATTATAAATTAAAACAATTTAAAATGAAACAAATAAATATGCAAACGCAATCAAGTGTATATACTGTACATTTACTGTAAAGTTGTTTTAGAGGGTTTTTGACAGCTTATTCTTCATATGAAATCATTTTTGTTCAAAACATTTATTTCAGTGCAGGAGTGTTGATCAAATCAGAGAGAGAGAGAGAGAGAGAGAGAGAGAGAGAGAGAGAGAGAGAGAGAGAGAG